ACCAGAGCTCCCCTGCCATATGAGAAACCATTGCCATAATCAAGAGTGAACATATCCATCACCCCAAAAGTTTCCTTCTGCCCTTTATAATCCTCCTGCCCTCTCCACCCCACCCCAAGCAACCACTCATCTGCTTTCTGTCATGTTAGACTAGTCTGTATTTTCTAGAGTTTGATATAAATGGAATCACAGAGTCTGTACTGTTCTGCCTGCAGAGTCCGTATTTTTTTAACCTCACCCAAGGAGGAGCCACTATGAGTCGGAACCCACTTGATGGCAGTGAGTTTGCTTTTTTTTTTGTTTTTTTTATGTCTGTCTCTAAAGAACCCATAAATCTAGCCTGACCTCTTTTTTTAATGGTAGATTCTAGAACATAAGGACTTGTTTCACATTCACTGTCTTCCTGCCCAGAGCCTAGTCCCTTCTCTGTGCTCACTGCCCTGCAGGCTCCTGCCTGGACCTCTTCTCCATCTCCTCCACATGAGGAACTCCCGTTCATCCTTGCAGATCCAGCTCAGTGCCACTTCTTCTGGAAAGCCCTTCTTGATTGTCCCTCCCTGGGGGCAGAGCAAATCACTCGCTCCTCTGGGGTGCTGCCGCGCCCTGTTATGGCGCTGTTATAGCACTCCCTATGCTGCCCAGATGGTTTGCTGCCATGCCTGTGATGGCACCTGGCCAGGCCCCATGGCAGGCTTCACGAATTGTCGAAGTCAGCTGAACTGTCCCCTCTATGAGAAAGATGTTCCCTATGTTCCAGATGAAGGAGCTAAAAGACAGAGCTGACCTTAATACAAAAGGAAGACAAAAAGGAGAAAAACAAACCCCTCAAAAAGAGAGAACAATCAGTATTAATTCTACCAGACTTTCTTAAACCAAGAAAGGAAACAGCTTTTTAAGTAGCTGTTCTCATCCCATTTCCAGCATGTTATCTGCCTGGCAACATCACCACCAGCAAAAAAAATGTGTTTCCACAGCTAAGTTGGCCAAGTCCTCCTGGTTCTCTAGGCTCCTGCTCTGATGCTAGCCCTCACCATCCATTCCCCGTTATGGTAACAGGCCCACCAGTACACCTGGGATCTACCTTGTCAGTCCAGGACGTATAGGTAGGGGCTCCACCCCAGCCTGACCAATCAGAGCCCTGCATGCACATGGTCACTGGGATTGGCTCAAGGGTAGGCACATGACCTAAGCTGGTCCAATCAGAAAGAATCTCAACACCTCTGCACATTTGACTGGAAAAAGACTCTATCCAGCTATTTCCCATTAGACTTGAAGAGGGAAGCCATTCTGCCTCCTCTTGACGCCTGAGACTAAAGCCACAGAGCAGAAGGTAGAGCTGTGACCTTGAGAGAAACCAAGTCCAAAGCGTTCATTTGAGCCCAAAAACTATCCATGGAAAGGCAGCCTACCCATAGACTTTTCAGTGATCTGAGCCATTTAATTCCCTTTTTCCAAAGCAGTGTGGTTCTGTCATTTAGACCCTGGCCTGCCAAATTCTACTTCCATCATAGGCTCTGGTGGTTCCGGCTCTAAGGAAGAGTGTAAACAGAAACAGGACTCAAGTTCCTTCTGCAATGAATCATCAACCCACCAACGGACCAGCCACCCTTCACCCTAACAGACAGGAACCCCATATAGTAGGGCCACACCTTTAAGGGCAACTACAGAGGGCACACCACCAAAGTCCCCAATCTGATGGACAGACGCCAATGGCAGGCTTCCCCAAACTATATAAAGTGCTAATCAAATATTGTAAAATGCGAGTCATGTAACAGATGGTTGGCTTCTGGAGTCCTCAAAATTAGCATTTGGAAAGAACACAACTTCATTACTCAAAAACCCAGGCAATACTTAGTAACCAACCAAGCAAGTATGGGCGGGAGATTATTTTCAGCTCAATTATAATACTTAGTCACTCTCAGTAATAACTAGTAGAGCATACATGTGTGGGTCTAGTTAGAAGAGTTAAACTAAAAAAAAATTTAATTTAATTTAAAATGTGGGTTTGCTATTGTCTAAGGGGCAAGGAACTTCACAGCATTATTGCTAAAGCTGTAGTCAAACACTGGTGGCCCTGGAAATGCTCGCATATCCAGTGTTTGGACTTGTCCTTAGCCTCTCCACCTGAGCCCTTGATCCCAGCAGTAGTGTGTCCTGATCAGCCTCTTCCTGTTCTGAGCTGTTCTTGTAGATCCTGCTGCCTGGCCTTCCAGGAATACCTAATTCCTGTCTGTGTTCAACCTAGGTTCCCCCATCTTCTCCTTGATTCTGTGAGCTCCTTACATTCTTTCAATAAATTAAATAAAAATCGGCTGAGTCCTCCTATTTTCCCTACCCCCACATAGATATAGACTCTCTCTCTTTGCTGTTTGTCCACAGCCTGTTGCACCTGCTTCGGTTAGCAGACATCACTCTGTACACTGAGTGTGAGACTATCTCCCTATCAGAGGACATGCGTGAGGACAAGGACAGTGTCAGATTCCTCCATCTTTGCTCTCCCAATGCCCAGAACAGAACCTGGCACATAGTGACCCCTCTGTAAGTTCTTGAACACTAAGTAAAATCAGTATCTGAAACACTGAACAATCCTCAACCTTGAGAAAACAGCAGCTCCACTTTCTCCCTACCCTTGGGGGGTCTAAACGTGGCTGAGACAGTCCTGTGCTTCTGTCCTCTGTACTGTGACGACATCCACCCTCCACAGGGTCCTCTGCACCCTGGGCACTCCTGGCCATCACCTCGGGCTGAAACACCCTCCCCCGTCCTGCCCCAACTACTCCAAGCCTTTTCCAGTCTTCTCAGCCTCCCTCCAACTCCCTTGTAGGATCTCTCTGTAGGCAACTAAGTCATAATTGAGTCCTACAGCCTATAATGAACTAAAAAGTTGTAAAACACCTACATAGTATGGTTTGGCTCACAACTGTTGTTAGCTGCCATTGAGTCGACCCTCAGCTCAGCGCCATCCCCAGGATCGACTAAGTATTGGACTACTGTGATTTGTAAGATTTTCACTGATTGATTTTAGGATGTAGATCTCCAGGCCTTTCTTCCTAGCCATCTTAGTCTGAAAGCTCCACTGAAACCTGTTCAGCATCATAGCAACATGGAAGCCTCCACGGACAGTCAGGTGGTGGGAGGTGCACTGGCGGGGAGCTACACCTGGGTCCCCTGTAGGGAACGCGAGAACTCCACCACTGCCCTCACTGGCTCACTGTGGGCACTCAGTCCACCACTCATCTGCCAAAAGACTCGTCTGTCTGCTACAAAAGACCTCCTTAAAGTGTTAAGAAGCAAAGATGTCATTCTGAGGACTAAAGTGAACCCGAGTCAAGCCATGGTCTTTTGAATCGCCTCATACGCATGGAAGAGCTAGACAACGTGTAAAGAAGATCAAACAAGAACTGATGCCTTTGAATTATAGTGTTGGTGAAGAATATTGAGTATTCCATGGTCTGCCAGAAAAACAAACAAATCTGTCTTGGAAGAAGTACAGCCAGAATGCTCCTTAGCAGTGAGGATAGCGAGGGTTTTTCTCATGTACTTTAGACATGTTACCAGCAGGGACCGTTTCCTGGAGAAGAACATCATGCTCAGTAAAACAGAGAGTCAGCAAAAAAGTAGAAGACCCTTACTGAGATGGACTGACACAGTGGCTGCAATAATGACCTCAAACA